TGATTATATAAAATTGAATGAATAGACGCAAAAACCAGAAAGGGTTAAGATCCCAATATTTGTTAGAACACTCAAGTAACATTGGTGATGATATCACCCTAATTTCTTGATCTTTTCCAAATGGTAAAAATTAAGTCCAAAGAAGAGAGCTGGAGAGAGAGAGAGAGAGAGAGAGAGAGAGAGAGAGAGATCAAGTTTAATTAATTAAAAAAATGCTTCCAAGCAGGCTGAAGATAAGATATGGCAAACAAGTTATAATAGAAAAGAATATGATTGGCGATGCTGATTAGCGATTCCACGTTGGATGTATCAAGCAAGACAAAACCCTACATTATATAAATCGTTGATCCGACACAACATGCATGCATGTGTTGCATCACACAGCTTGGATCCATCGTGTATTAAGCTGTCTGCAGTATTTTATTGCATTTTGAGCCTTCTTAGATTGTAATGAGTGACAGAGATAGAGAGATAGAGAGAGAGAGAGAGAGAGAGAGAGGTGATGCTCATAATAAGAATGAATGTAAATCATTTTTACAGAGAATTAATTAAACTTATCTTGTGCTCGAGAATTTTGCCTAAACAAAAATAATAAGAGATAAGCCATGTAAAAGTAAGCATAAAAAACAAGTAATATTATTAGAATAATGGAGTTCATAATAAGAGTTAAGTAACAAAACAATAATCACCACTAAATAGCACAAGAGAGACCATTTCCTAAGAAAAGAATATCCAAACCTAATAGAATTAAAACCATGGCTTTAACTCAAGTGCCAAAGAGAATATTTTAGCTTAAAACACAACTAATGAGGTGGTATTCCTCCAAGTAATGTAGAACTTATTTATTCTATATATTATATATTAAAGAGGGAGACAATATGGAGATGGAGGAGGAATTATTACGTTCGTTCGCAGTATTTGTAGAGAACGATTGTGGTGCATGGGGGTCGATCTCCCTTCTTTTCTTTTTTTTTTCTCAGCGCATCACGACTGTAATCGTACGGTGCATATTACGCTTTTTCTGTTACGAAGACCAGAGATACAGAAGAGGACAATACTTAATCATAATTTTTTTTTTCAAACATCTTATACTAATAAACAACCCTCAATAATTGTGTATGTACCATCTCAATATTTATTGATAATTAACAATCCTCAATTATTGTTGAAATATATTTGTGGATTACAAAGAGCCTTCTAGCTTGTTATAATGAATAATAATAATTTAAAAAAAAAACATAAAATTTCATTGATATAGTCACAAAAATGTCGACCACTAAAATTTGAGGCATTCTAAAGCCACAATTAACCTCCATAATGGAGGTTTTGTATAGAATGGAGGATAACTAACTAATTGCTATATTAGAAATTTTATCTCTAAGTAGGAAGAAGCTAGGATATTAAATTAATTTTATTTAACTAACTTTTATAAACCTCTAATTATCAACATCTTCTCAACTCATATAAGTTTAGATTCACCATCCTCAACCTGAGATTAACATATTTATTCTTCATCTTCTTTTTAGTTTTTCACAAAATTACCAATCACACTTACATAATCGGGGAAACAGTACATGAGGACCAATCATCTTAAGTTCTACAAATATCCTTAAAAAATTACATGAAAAATACTTATAATCGACGAAATAATCAACCGTCCTTTTTTTTTTTTTGGTAAAAAATATCGTGCTAATTTCCAACAACATGGTAACGGTAAATTAACTAGACTGTTTGTGATGGTGTAACTATAACCTAATCAGTCGCTTTTTTACGGGAATAAAATCTTGACTAATTTTTTGGATTGAATGCTAGTTTATACCGTTGGCTTGAGGCTAAATGTTAACCGACAAACATAGTTCGCCGGTTATTATTGCGGGAACATTTCTCCTGGAAGAAGCAGACATTTGTTCTTAATAAGCGACGACTTTTGCAATCAGCTTCAAGATTATTAACAAACGGATATAAAGTTCTTAATAAGCGACGACTTTTACAATCAGCTTCAAGATTATTAACAAACGGATATAAAGTCGTTGATATGTCATCAATTTTTAATCTAATATTTCACTCCCCACCTAAATGCCGCATCTCCTCATTTTACTCCCTCTCTCGATTCACACCCGCATCCAGTTTCGCCCAAATTCTACTTCCTCTGTCCCCGAAACCCACCCACACATTTCTCTCCTCCAAGAGCATGCCTACGAAACATATTCGACAATAATCAGAAAATCACGGCAACGTCCCTTGTGGCTCGGAGAGGTTGTTTTTGCCAAGATGTTCAGGGCCTGAGATTCTCCAGAGTACCAGAAGAAGAGGGAGCAGGCGAAACAGAACAAACGATCAAACTGTAGAGGCATGCATGGGGCCCTCCAAACACACGGGTGGGGCAACTCATATGCAGAATACAAGTAGAGGCTGGTAAGATTTTTTTTCTTCTTTAAATTTTTCTAAGATCTAAGATATACATATATTCTAATTATTTTGTTACATTGATAAACTGTGACATTGAGACAAGAGTCCCCCAGTACTGATGTACATGAGTGCACCCATAGGAGGCAGTCAGACCGGTCTTGGATTGACGAAAGATCCCCGCCGTGCCAACCAGTTAATTTACGAGCCAAGCTAGTTTGATATTATTGCATGCTAGCTATAATTATATGTAACAAATTTTTTTGTAGGATAGGTTCCAGCAACTGAAGGAGAGTTGAATCCATGTTTTGGGCGGTATTACGATCTGAGATCATGATTCTTTCGAGCACGACCTGTGGAGGGAGGCTGCTAGAGGAAATAAGAAGGGTTGAGTCTACGGGCTCGGTTCACGAGCGTTTGCCTACGACACTCATCCCTCCACCAGTGCATATGTAGCTTCTACCTTTACCGCGTAGGAGGAGGATATCTCCAGATGTGTTTCCACATTCACTGTCGAGATGAAGGCCTACTTCACTTAGATGAGGTCGAAACTTGAAGAAAACATGGAGGCCAAGCTAAAGGCCGAGTTAGATTAGTTCCGGCAGAGGGCAAGGCAGCGTGGCAAGGCAACATTGGTGGAGGAAGGTGAGGATGATGATGAGGATAAGGATAAGGATGAGGAGATACAGGAGGAGGATTAGCAGGGATAAGTTTCAATATAAATGTTGTACATTTGAACATATATATTTTTTAATAGTGATGTATTTATGTTAGATTAAATGCATTTTATTTGTTTAGTTAGCTGACTGAATGATTCATTATTCAAACATGATTTTAGTTTGTTAAATGCTTTGAATGGTTAAGTAGATGTTGTGATTGTAGTTGTGGTAATGTAAATACAAAATAGAGAATTTATTTTTTTTACTGATGCTTCAGGTTTCCGAAGGCTTATCAACGGTTTAACGACGACTTTTTACATATTAGTAGCCATAACCGATGACTAGCCTATGGACTTATTAATCGACTCATCATCGACCCCAAATCAACGGAACACCTGTGCTATAAAAATACAACAGCCGTGAAACTTTTCCGACCGTTTTTTCATCAGTTATGAAAATAACTCATCATCGACACCGAACCGACGACAAAACTACATAAAAGGAGCAACAACCACGACACTTTTTCGACATTGCAACGGTCGATGCGAATCGACTAAAATTGAAACTTTGAAATTACTCAAAAAGCAACGATCAAATGTTGTCGGTTCTGTGTCAATAATTTTATACCGTCGGAATATCAGTTCGTTTGAAAATTACCGACAAACATTTTAGCTACGATCTTAACACACTCTCGATGAGCCTTCAGAAAGATAATATCCAACGGTATTTCTCTTGATAGACGACGAAATGTGGTCGTAAAAAATGAGCATTATTCCTGTAGTGAAATCTAAAACAAAATCAAAATACTCCCCTAAAACTTATTGGGGCATTTACAAAGTTATCACCCAAATCTTAGCTTTTAACATGCCAATCAAACACCTAAAATTTTCTTTTTACATTTACACTGCCCAAATCTTTCATATAACATGAAAAATATAACTATTTTAACTTTTACAATTGATATACACATTTTTTTTTTCATGCACAGATAAGATGACATATATGTCACAATTGAATTTTAACTATTTGATGTGTAAATACATGAGAATCTAAATAAACTCTCTAAACTTATATATTTTATATCAACTAACAACCACATGCTCTCTTGTCCAAAACTAAAACCAAAGTTTCAATTCTCATCCTTCTCTTAAAAAGAAAACAAATCAAATCTAGTTCATTTGTTTCCCAATGAAAATACTAATACTTCAGAACCAGCCAATGCACCCCATCTATATCTATATATATATATATATATATATATATATATAGAGAGAGAGAGAGAGAGAGAGAGAGTGAAGCAATATATGAAACCCTGCTTCCATTTCAAGTGAGAAGCTAGCTAGCAAAAGCTCCATCATGAGCAAGCAATGGCTTATGAAGAGCATGCCTGTGTTTGCCATGATAAGTTTGCAGTTCCTATATGCAAGCATGTCCATTGCAACCAAAGCTACCCTAGACAAGGGTTTCAGCCCCTTAATCTTTCTTGTTTACAGGCAAACAGCTTCCTCTATTTTCCTAACACCTATAACCATCATAACTATGAGGTTTGTTTCTCTCTCTATACCTATCTTTCTCACTCCATCTCTTCTTTCTCTCTCTTCCTAATTCATTGAGCAATAGGAGGAAACCAGCTGAGAGGACCATGGGAAAGAAGGGCTTTTTTCTAGTGTTTATGGCTGCTATTATTGGGTATGATTTCTTCCTTCATTCCTTTACTTTTAGATTTTAAGGAGTTTTGATTCCATGGTGAGGAATTTCGAGGCGGTGTTTGGCTGCAACTTGGTTTTACGTTAAATAAGATTGATGAGATTCAGTGAATCCGATAAATTTGTGCAACGGAGATGGAGCTCGCGAGCATCCAAGCATCCGATTTGTTAAATTGAGTTTTACGGAACATTGGATTTAATTTTTGACTTTTTGGTGATTGTAGGGGAATTTAAGTTAAATTCATCGCTAAATCATATTAAAAATGTGCTATCAAACATCTCCTAAAGGTATTATGAGTGATTATATTTAATGTTTTTGATGTTTAGAGTGACATTAAATACCAACTTCTATTACGAAGGATTGAAGCTGGCTTCTGCAACTATGGCTAGTGCCATGTCCAACTTAATCCCAGCAGTAACCTTCCTCATAGCAGCTGCTGTTGGGTAAGTTCCCATCTCCTATTTATTTTTTGTTAAGTAAAAGAGCTTTAAAAATAAAAATAAAAATAAAAATAAAAAAACTTTTTTTTAATCTTTTTTTTAAAATGATGTTGATTTTTTTTTCCAGAAATTTACACTGAAAAGCTGATTTACTGAAAAGTTTTCCAAATTCTTACATGAAATTGTTAAATATGCTAATTTTAATAAAATATTTTCGTATTATATTTTGCATAAATAAATAAATAATAATTAAATGATTTATAGGGGTACTGATTTAGTGGAGCAAAGCGTCTCTTTGGGCGGCTGCGGTGGAGAAAATAATTTCTTAAAAAGCTATGATTAGAGTTATAAATATATATTTAAAATCATATTACAGTTTTCTTACAGCCGCTACACTGAATTTTCTTGAAAGTAGAAACAAATAAGTTTCCAAATAGAACTGTGACGACTGACCGAATCACAAAATATATAAAAAGTTATCCTCAATAATCTAAACATGAAATCAAACATTTAAATGCTGTTTTAAGCTAATCCCAACTATTCAGATTTGAGTTGAGTAAGTCAAAACTTCTAATTTCATAATTTTTTATTTTAATTACTAATCAAAATCATATATGTGTAATATAATTTTATATTACAAAATTTAATAGTATTATTTAATTTTAACAGCTCTAAAATATTAATTTGTTTTTAAGAAAATGATCAGATTGGAGAAGGTGAAGCTCAGAAACATTAGAAGCATGGCGAAGGTTTTGGGAACAATTACATGCGTGGGTGGAGCAGCTGTCATGGTGTTGTTAAGAGGCCAAAAGCTTCTCAGCACAGATTTCAAAGGGATTATTTTAAGCTCATTTTTGCAAGGAGCAGGTGATCAATGGCTGCTGGGCTTCTTCTTTCTTGTAGCCAGTTCCACTTGCTGGTCTACATGGCTTATTTTGCAGGTTATTCATTAAATTTTATGTATTTAAATACATACCATACATTTTTTTAAAAATCTATTTACATATCTTGGTGGGATGGAGATCTTATACTTCTATTAGAGCTTCGATTCAAATAGAAATCAATCAAAATCATGTTGCAGAATATGATCGTGCTGACCGAAATAAAATATTCGAATAGAAAAACACACTAAGTGGAAAAATCAGAGAATGGGTAAAAATCACGGAGTCACATCATCAAGAAATTTCTACGATGAAATTAAGAATTGCACTACTCACTCAAATCTCCTATCTACAATCATTGGAACTTACAGGACTTTGCTCCAAACACATTCTCTAGATCTCACAAGAGAAAAGCACAACGAAATCATCTTATCCGACACTTCTCTCATTCATGAGACATTCATCGATCGAAATCGTGAATTTAACAGATGTTTAAAATCAAACTGTCTAGCGGTGTGGTCACACAGCATACCGGCTTAATTACACCAGCTCTAGATCAAAACAATGCAGATGAACCTCAACGGCGTAATCATACCGTGAGTGCTTTAGGCTCCACAACATAACATATGTGTAATTAAAAAAATATCACAATCACCATCTTTTCAAAAGCGAAGTAGAACTTACACAAAGGCGTCATAAGCGAATAGACATGCAAAAACATAAAAATTGTGTGGTACATATGCAAATTTCACTAATATTTTTATTAAAATGTATATATTTTATTGAAAAAAGAATAAAAACAATACATTTTGGGATAATTTCAATGCAGGTGCCTATATGTAAAAGTCATCTTGATCCACTGTCATTGTCTACCTGGATGTCTGTAATATCAGCCATTCAAACAGCCCTTTTAGCTTTGCTCATAGAACCAGACTGGAGGGTGTGGAGAGCTGATTCAGGCTTATCTATCCTAATCTGCTTTTATACTGTGAGTTTTGGTTTGCATCAAGTGGATTCATTTGGTTAAATGTATAAAATTATATATTAGCTTTTCTAATCAGTGTATATATAAGAAAAGAAAGATTTACAGATATACCACTCAGTTCAATTTGTAAATATTAATAATTCAAGTGGTCTGGATGTAGGGGTGTAAACAAGCCGAACACGAGCGAGCCACGCTCAGCTCGTGTTCGGCTCCCTCGTTTACTTATTGAGCCAAACACTAGCTGTTCGCGAATAAAGAGTTGTTTTGACAACTTTAATGACGTAGCCATAGGATATTAAGGGTTGGGCAAGATTTAAAAATTATTTGTTTATATTAAAACATCATTTCAATCTAATTTAATAATTTTTATTCTACTTTTTTTAATTAATACTTTTAATTTATTATAAATCATTGTAGCCTTGTAATCAAATAATTTTTTAAAAACACTGCTCAACAATTATATATATATATATATCTCTATAATTGATGAGTAGTATTTCAAGCTGAAACGAGCCGAACACGAACGAACAAATCTTAGTTCGTGTTCGGCTCGTTAACTTATCAAACGAAATTAATGACCCGAGAACGAGCTTCTTAACGAGTCGAACATGAGCTGTTGGCGAACAACGAACCGTTTTGACAGCCTTATCTGGATATAATTTAATTAATTAATATAATTTTCAGAAAAATTTCTTCATGAAAAATATTTTATTTTTTTGATTTGAAGGGAGTCTGCTGTGCTGTTAGCTACTTCGTCCAGTCATGGTGCATAGCAATCAGGGGGCCATTATTTTCTGCCATGTTCAGTCCTCTCTGCACTGTCATTACAACAATTTCTGCTTCTTTCTTACTCCATGAAGAACTCTACATTGGGAGGTAAGTTTGTAATTATTGATTTATCATTTGAAAGGGATGATTAGATGTAGACCCCCCAAAACATTGCTATTTTCAAATTAACAATTCATGAAGAATATGATAAAGATGAAATATATGGGTTGGGGCTTTGCATTGAATACATCGGTTCGGATGGGTATTTTGAAATATAATCCATATTTTTCATTTTTATCAAATTCTTAATAGCCTGATCATGGCATGCGTGAATACATTGGTTCAGATGGTCGGTTTGAATCAAGCCAATCATAAACATGTTGTTGACAAAAAGTATCATACGTGATACTATTTGGAACGAAAAAAAATTCGAACGAGCCGAACACGAATGAGCATTTGCTTCGCTCGAACTTCGCCCTAACAAAAATTTTTTTTTGATCAGCTTGGTCGGCGCGGCGGCCATTATAGCCGGTTTATACGCAGTGCTTTGGGGGAAAGCTGAAGATATCAATGGCGGCAGCAAAGAGTCACATTATGATGATGATAATGCTATCAAGATCAGGAGTTCTGAAGAGAATCCTCCCACAAACATTTCTGAAAACAACCTCCAAGAACCCTTAATTCGTTTTTCAGATGAACACTGCTAGTTTTAATCTCACTGAAAATTTCATAAATTATATTTGCACCCTCTGCAAACCTTTATTTCTGCCTCAATAAAATCTTTTGTCTACTTCCTCCATAAAAGGAGGTCTCGCTTTAGGAAGAAGGGGTACCAAACATAATTTACATAATTATTTCAATACTTTGATGTCTTGTTTTTGGTTGGCAAAGCTTTGAATGTCAAGGTTCATTGTGCAAATGATAAGAAGAATGTGTGGATTAATGTAAAAGTGAACAAAAGCTTTCAAAATCATCATTAAATTACCATATGCTCCGTCCTCCATCTCAACATGTCATTTAGTTTGGTTGTCTCTCTCATAGTGAAAAAGAGTTCTTTAGAAAGCAATGCGGCTCATTAATTTGCACCACAAGTAAATTAAAAAGCATTTGCCATTTCTAAGATTTATGGGTACTTAAACGTAAAGTTCACTCCATCACCTTCATTTATTTGATTGTTATAGGGAACTAAGAGAAAATGTTACATCTCATTTCTCAAGAAGGCAAAAATGAAAATGTCCCTTCCATAAAGATGGGTTGATTGAGTATAGAATATAGAATAAAAAAAAATTATTTGATAATAAATTCTATGTTATATAATTTGCAAAAATATTAAAGTTTTATATAAGCTAATAAGGCCAACTCAGCCAGATGGGATTCGAACTCCCGACTTGGGGGGTCTTACACCGAGGATGTCAACCAACAGGTCGGGGTACGCTGCAAATGTAGCATGTGTTTACATAAACAGATACATAAACATAGAAGAACATGTAGAACTATCTAATAAAATTTTTATATAGTTTATACAACATAATCAAATATCAAGTTTTATCTTTACTATCATAAATATGAAACCATAAGAAGCTAATAATTTATCATCTAATAGAATAATATTAAAAATATATATATGATTTCAATATAATAAATTCCGCATAATTTTTTGTATTATTTGGCATGCATGCAGTCAAGAATTTGTGTGGTGGAAAGGAGGGCAAGACAGGCGAGTACATTGTCTCTTTACAGCTACAATAATCTTGGCTGCATGCGAGACATAATAATGCAATGGCTAGATTTTTATTTGTAATAAAAAAAAAAAGGGATAGTATTTGCAAAAATCAAATTTGTTGCCATTCTTAAAAAAACTAAAATAGTACAATTTGGTTTTTACATGGCAGACCCCATCATCCATGTGACTTCAAGGGATCATGTCATAGTTCAACCGAAGCTACCACCACCTCCCGACCATTGTAGTTGATGCCCTGCCACCGTCGTTAAGTTGTTGCTGGTGTCGTATCACCACTCCCGACCATCGTCGAACCACCATTACTAGGCAATTGTTGTTTGGTGGTTGCCACTATCGGAACATCGTTGCCTCCACCGGGCTACCGCCATCTAAACATCACCGTCGTCGGTCCACTGCTACTTGGTTTCCACTATTATTGACACTGGACAATTGTTGTCACAACCAGGCTACCACCGTCACCAGCTCCGGACCTCTGCTACTAGAACATCATCGTCGCTGCCACTACAGCCAATGCTGACAATAGACTTTTCGACACTTGAACGCTTCAGTCAGCTTTTCATCATAGTAGTCAGGTCACTGCCATTTAACATTTGCTGCCACTTTCCTAGCAAAAGTCATATCCTACTTGTGAAAAATCACTTATGGCTATTCAAGACCCATGAAAATTTTATAGCGTACATCGACATTGCAGGATTATTTTAACTAGGCTATACCCTGCAAAATCCCATAATTTAATTGAGGCCAAACTGTTAAAGATCGAGACACATTTGATGTAATGGTGAAATTTCATTAGAAACCCCAAATTTTAACTTTGTCCTTTTGGAGCACTCATGGATGGGTGACCTTCTGGGAAGTTATACCAAGGGACAAAACTGTGAGGTCGTTTGGCCAAATCATACCATACATTGATGGATGAGAGTTCAGGTTGTCACAAATGGTTACAGAGCATTACACCAACCAGAAATGAGACCTAAGTGTCTCTTTCGATTCTTTTTGTAACTCGGAGTCACAACGTAGTAAACCGGGGATCAATTTCTTTTGCATTGTAACAAGAAAAAAAAGAAACTATTGATCGCTTGCTACACATGTCGGAGACGACTTTCTTACACATTGCAACACGAAAGAGGATCTTGTAGATCGTCTGCTACGCAGGTCGGAGTCGACTTTATTCTTCTGGGAAATTATGGATCATCTGTTAAGCAATGTAGAATACTCGACCTCTACCCTCTCCTTCATACGTATCTATAGGCTCAAAAATTATATGCATTTATGATAAAAAAAAATTAATTTCAAATGTTATTTAAAAAAAAAATTGCCCTGCGTGGGCCCTCTAAAATCTTCCTGCTGGCGTTCCCAATTCTTAAGCCAACGTGGAATTTATATATATATATATAAACATCAATTTTTACAAATGGCTACAGATTTTGATATTTTTGGCCGAGAAAATAATTTCCGCCTGAAAATAGGCGGATAACTCATACACAAGCATAAATCATAAGGCATAGCCTATTTTAGCTTTGAACGTCTCGACAAGAAGAATCTAAACATCACTGTCGTCGGTCCACCGCTACTTGGTTTCCCCTATTATGGACACTGGATAATTGTTGTCACAACTAGGCTACCATTGTCACCAACTCCGGACCTCTGTTACTAGAACATCATCGTCGCTACCACTACCGCCAATGCTGACAACAGACTTTTCGACACTTGAACTCTTCAGTCAGCTTTTCATCATGGTAGTTAGGTCACTGCCACTTTCCTAGCAAAAGTCATATCCTAATTGTGAAAAATCACTTATGGCTATTCAAGACCCATGAAAATTTTATAACGTACATCGGCATTGCAGGATTATTTTAACTAGGCTAGACCCAGCAAAATCCCTCAATTTAATTGAGCCCAAACTGTTAAAGATCGAGACACCTTTTGATGTAATGGTGAAGTTCCATTAGAAACTCCAAAGTTTAACTTTGTCCTTTTGGAGCACTCATTGGATGGGTGACATTCTGGGAAGTTATACCAACGGGACAGAACTGTGAGGTCATTTGGCCAAAACATACCATACAAAACATACCAGCATCAACCCCCGTTGACCACTACCTTTCGACCGTCGCTGATCACCACTCACCGAAGTTGTAATTTGAGAGATTGTATAATCTCTTCTCGCCAGTGGCGTGAGGGATTGTGTATGTACTCTCCAGTTTATAATGGATTTCTTCGGCTGAGCTAGACCTGTGATTATTTCCCTTTACGAGTTTTCCCGTACAAATTTCTAATGTAACTATTGATTGTATTGTATCATCTGAGCGTGTGTCAACTTCTTATGCAATGCTAAAACGACAATCTATTACTCAACTGCCGCAAATCTTTTAGCCATAATTTTGTATTACTAAGTTCTCTTCCTTCTCATCCCAATTGTCATCCACACAAAAAGTCACCCTCCAAACAATAATAAATATATAAATGGGACATTTACAGAAACACCCCCCAGTTTTTATGTATTTACATATCCAACATCCAAACTTTAATATTTACAAATATGCAACTCAAAATTTTCCTATAATTCAAATACACCATTAATTTTGCACTTTTTAGGCATAGGCAAGTAGCTTATATATAAAAACTAAAGTTTAAAGGCTTAGATATGTAAATACATAAGAATTAACTGGTATACATGTAAATCCACAAGGAAAAAAGAGAGAGAAGACTTTTACATCTCCGACACTAAATAAGCAAAATGCAAACGTAACTTCTTACAAATTACACCCACAATCCACCAAACCGCATAACAATATTATAAAAAGGTAGATTTGTCAAACTTCGAACAAACTTTTAGTACTGCAATTATGTATTATGCACGTAATCCACTGTAAAAGTCGCCGTTTCCTTCAAGCAGATTGTATGGATAGTGTAAAAAAAGAGGGATTGACAGGGAGGGAGAAAATACATAATGATGATATTATATTTTTACCCCTATTTTAAAGGAGTTCATACCTGAGTATTTTATATGCACGAGTTTATCATCTGACTGCTTTCTAGCTCGGTCGGCTTGACTTAATTGGTTTTGAGTCAACACGGTTAGCTCGGTTGATTGAGCTAAGTCGGGTCGGTCGTCGAAACTTGGTCGTTATTGAGAAATTCAGTCACACATATTTTTGTTATACCACTCAATTTCAATAAATTTATATGAATTTTATATCTTAACTTTATTTTTACACACACACACACACACACACACATATATATATATATATATATATATATATATTTGTTTGTGTGGATGAAAATTACTTGGGAATTGGGTGGTATGGATGTAAATGCGCCAAAAAAAAAATGTTTTACTTTATGTTACTTTACTCATATAACAAAATATATTCATTTCTCGAATTTATGTAAAAATTTATGATCTTGTGGAAGTGAGAATAAGCTATTGAGAGAGAGATGATCAGAGAATTTATCGAAGATCCAAGATTGAGAGGTATATTCATTTCTCTTCGATTTTTTCTTCTTATTTAAATCTTATGGAACCTATGTATCTGTATAGGGGTTTAAAGAATGAAATATAAAACTAGATTATAGGTCATATAGTACAGAGATTGAGCATACTCGTTATCGACAAAACGACTGATGTTAATTATTATGTTGTTAATGAATAACAATATGTGTCCTAACAGACTAAAATTTTCTTCCTTTTGCCTCGAAGAACTACCCGTCGAGCTTGGTGGTATAGCCAGGTTGTTATCGACTAATTTGGTGTGAAAGTCCAACCAAGTCGTGGCGGTTTGGAATAAGAATTTGAGTTGTATGAGCGAGCTCAACTAGAAAAAATTGCTGGAAAATTAAGGCTTAATAAATTTGTTATGTGGAACTCATAGGAATTATGTCATGTTTTAGAAGTGCTCATGAGTCCTTCTAGGTGGCAAAGAGCTTTTTAGCTTATTACATCCAAAAGTACGACTAATGAGTAAGAGCATTGAATACACAACCGATATGCTCGATCCATTAAACCCATGTAGTATTTAGGCTTTCTTGTTCCTTAAGAAACTCGTTTTCAGCTATGCACATCACATAAAAAATACAACTATTTAAACTTTTGAAAAATGAAACACTTTTTAATGCTATATAAGATATTATGTAAAAATTGAAATTTAGGTGTTTAGATATATAAATACAAAAAAACCTTATAGGTAAGTAAGTCATCAAGTAGTAAGTCATCAAATAAGATATCAAACATCGATCGAAAAAAGCTCAAACCAACTTTATGTGCTCCAACTCGTACCATATTAGTTGAAAATAAAGTGAAGAATCATAAACAACCAGATTCAAACGACTATCAAAATAAAACTAAGTCTCACATGCCTAAAAAAGCACCATCCATCACATGTACACAAAAGCTAACTCATTAAAAGAGTGTTCTCATACCACAAAACAAATCCAAACCTACATCTCATGCAACATGAAAATAAACTCTAACCATCAACAATATAAGCACACGATACTCCATATGTTCTACCCAAAGTTCTAAACTTTACAAAGAAGCACGATCACTTCTCTATCTCCTTCTAAGGGTTCCCTCCCTTCCATCCCTGATAGTTGCTTCGCCTGTTGTTGCGGAAGGCGCAGCATCCAATCGAGTAAACTATAACGAGAAAGATGAGGAAGACGATGTTGATGATGGCAACCTTCTTCCAGTCATTCTTGAGGTTGGCGAGAACGCCGGCCTTACATGACTGGCAGTCGTAGCACAGAACAGAAGGTTCATTCTGCCAGGTGTTGCAGTCGGCAATGGAGGAGATGCTGAAGCCCTGAGGCTTATTCCACACAGTCTCGCTCACAAAGGTGAAGTTACAGGCGGTGGGAGGCTTACAGCAACCAGACTGAATCAACAAAATTATATTTTGGTTAGTATTGTAAATTGTATAGTAAAGGGTATCTGATTTCTTATAGATTGATAACTCTGTACATAGCATAAAGCTTTGATTTTTAATTTCAATTTTCGAAAAACAAGAAGAAAAATTTAATCTTTATAAGAAACAAGCTTAAAAAAGTTAAATTTTTAGAGAAAAAAAGTATAAAATTCAGTAAAATTATACAAAAGGAAATCATATAAAACATGCAAGAAAGAGGAAATTAAACCAACTAAATTAAGCTCAAGAAATAAAACCAAAAAATAACACTAAAGTCAGATAGATCTTGTCCTGTAATTACAATTTTAGAAACCGAGACTGAACCGCAAGATCTAATTGGAAGAAATAAAGTAAGAAATGAAGAAAAAAGCGGTATTTCTTTACCAGTATTCGTCGGAACAGCTCTCCAATTCCCAGGGCCATGCTCTTGTATGTAAGAGACAAGGATTATATCCTCTTCTGGCGTCCATGGACCTTTCTTAACTCCTTCTTTTTCACAACAAGGAGGTCTTCCCATGGCACTTGTTTTCAATTCGCTCAGAGAAACATTCAAGGTGGGCAGACAGAGAGAGAGAGAGAGAGAGAGAGAGAGAGGGAGAAACATTCAAGGTGGGCAGGCAGAGAGAGAGAGAGAGAGAGAGAGAGTTGAATGAAAATTCTCTTTCTACTCCCTATTTTTGTGGCATTTGGCCTTTGTTGAATAATACTACTGAATTTTTCAACCAAAACTTCTGATTAAAAAAAATTGCTTGATAGAAGCCGTTATTCAATTAGATACATGAAAAAATAGAACATGTCTTTGGTCAGTGCAGAAAAGAAACAGTATTTGCAGATCATTTCAAAGGAAATAAAAATATTTAATGAACGTTGTTAGTAAAATTGAATGATTCTTTCTGTAATATCAGAGTATATAAATTTCATATACAAAAAAAAAAGATAACATTTATATACACACCAAAAAATTCCTATATATTTACATATCTAACACCAAAACTTGCATTTTTATGGTTTTAAAACTCAAATCTTTCCTATCACATAAAAAATACCACTACTACTAACTTCTAAAAGATGAAATGCACCTTTTCATGCATAGATAGATAAAGTTCTATAAAGATAATAGTCAAAACTTACATGTCAGATATGTAAATACATAAGCATTGTGTGATATGCATGTAAATCTTCCAAAATACAAACACAAATTAACATAAACCAAAGTGCTGAGAACAGGGAAGCTCAAATCGCAAACATAAATCTGATGATGGCCATTGTTCAGCCTAAGAACAGATTAGAATGAGACTTTTGTCTCCCATTGAATTAAGTATTTAAACAGTAATAATTCAAACGAAAATATGCTTAAACAAGCAATGAAAATGCTTTATGCAATTTAAGAAAAAAAATTCCATCGTATTCTGAGAGTGAGAAATACACAGAAACGTTCTTTGTGAAGGTTAACTTCTTCTATTATATGAAACCTTATCAACAAAATTAAATCTTTTATAAGCAATCTAAACTGAATTGGATGATAAAATCAATTATAAAGCAGAGATCAAAAGGTTGAAAAGGGGAGAAATTTAAGGACTGGAAAAAGTTAAAGGGTTAAAAAAAAGCATTTCTTTATCCATAAAGAAACCAGAGACCTCGAACACTTTGTCTGCTAGAAT